GCACCATGTTCTACTTTTTGCTATAAAATTCTCACTTGTTTAATGTGTTTTGATGGCAGGTAAAAATGTAGGATATAAAAATTTATCATTTTCTAACTTTTACATATGAGGGAAAACCTATCCGTGTTTATTTCTTATTTTTTTCTATTCTGAAATTATAAAGAAAATCTTCAGTTTGACCTACTTGGTGTTGAATTTATTAGTATCCATAAATCTGAAAAAAAAAACCAAACCAAACAAATCAAAAGATAGCAGTGACAAACCATTTCTATGCCAAGAAAACTTAGAAGCTCTATCTAAAATTAAGCTTGATTCAAAGTAGTCTTCTTTAACATGCAAAGTAACAGAAAACTTTAGAATATTTTCTATGGAGATGAATTTTCTGAAAGAGAAAATGGTTTTTAGCTGACTATAGCAATAAAAAATGGACATCATTTCAGTGTAAATAATTCCAATCACTTGAACACATTCAATGATTTTTGTGTTTGGGATTGTTTTCTACCAATCTACTTTATCACAAGCCTACACAATTTTATTTTTCTGGGTATATATAGGTTTTTGTGGTTTAAATCCGAAGAAATATTGGTCTGATATAGAAAAGGGCAGGATGTAATTACAAGAAGGAGATTTTTTTTAAGCGTAAACTTTTGAAGTTTTCAACTTCTGAAAAGAATGACTAGATCAGGGGTGTAAAACTTGCATTGTCACAGTGGTGTTGTAACATATTGGGACTTATCCCCCCTTTGCTAAACTGGGTGGGGCCAGCATGTGATGCATCTTCCCTGTGGACCATGAGTTTGACACCCCTTGGCTAGATGGACATCAGTTTGAATTATGAATTAATTAAAATTGAATCATATTAATGCATTTAAACCAATCCCTTTCTTTGAAACTATTGCAATTGGAGTCCTTCATAGAAGTTTAATACAGTGTTTTTAAATCTCAGAATCATTTAGGTTGCATGGACTTCATTTACCAGAATTCTCCTGCCTGCATGCTGATTGAGGAATTCTGGGAAGTGAAGTCCATGCAACTTAAAATTGGTGAGACTCAGAAACACTGGTTTATTATGTACACAACGAGGTACTACTCCTAATTGTAGAATTTACTGATATGTGATCTCAGGATAGTGTGTTGGCCATTAATAATCTTTGGTTTGGTAAATGTATAGAAAGTTAAAGTGGAATCTGGAGAGCGGAAAAAGACTTTTGACCTTAGAAATCCTTTCTCAAAACTTACAAAAATACTCTTTAGCTATCATATATTGGAATTTTATACACACACACACACACACACACACAGAGAGTATGTATATGTGTGTGTGTGTATGTATGTATGTATATATATATGGATCTTTGGTTATTCGGGTTTTCTCCCGCGTAAGATTGGAAGTATCTAGGCAACATTTCGATGAAGTCTCAAGCCTGAAGATGATGAATGAGACTTCATCGAAATGTTGCCTAGATACTTCCAATCTTACGCGGGAGAAAACCCGAATAACCAAAGATCCACATACTAATACCTGTGAGAACCTCAGAAAACAAATATATATATATTCTTATGTTTTCGTGGGTATTTATATATATGGTATTCAGCTTTGTTCAGGTATTTTCCCATGTCATTATAGTTGTGCTTTTAAAGTTGTAGCAACGTTTCGACAGAATCTCATCTGCCATCATCAGGCTTCTGTATAGTGTTCATCTGTGAGTCAGACTTTCAGAGCCATTTCTGTTTTAAATTTGGTGCTAGCCTACACTGTGTCAGAATGTTTTTTTTTTTCTTCATCCTGATTGGTTGGGAGTCTTGGTCTGTGTTTATTGGTCTTGGAGTGTTTCTTGGGGTCAAAACTCTGTGTTCTGCTTGATTGGTGTTTCTAATACCTTTTGTCTGTTTTGTAGCTTTTTTTGTCTTGATTGGCTGGCAACATTGTGTTTCCTGTATTGGAGGCTTTTAGTGCGGCTTTGTTCCGAGTAAACAGACAGCTATCATTTATTAGGAAGCTAGGTTTCATCTGGGTGCCTGGTTGGAGTGTGTTTGAGCTGGAGGTATCAGGGGGAGTCTGTTTGTGCCCAGGTGTTGGGCTGGCTTGTGGTGTGGAGAGGCTTCCAGATAATTGACAGTCTGGTGGAGTCATCTCTTCTATTCATGCTTTCAGGTCTTTTTTCAATTTCTATGGCTTCTCTGATAATTCTGTAGATTTACATTTTCTGTAGATTTTCATGGGTACAGGTATGCAGGTCTTGGCATGTTCGGGTCTTTTCCCGTGTAAGATTGAGAGTATCTTAGCAATATTTCACAAGTGGGACCTCACTGAAACTTTGCCAAGATACTCTCAATCTTACATGGGAAAAGATTTGAACACACCAAGACCTGCATATATATATACACACATGTATGTATGTATGTATGTATGTATGTATGTATATATAATGATTTTTAGAGGATTTTGTTTCTTGTTTTTAATTTTTATTTTGTTTATTATGTTTAATTCTTGTAAACTGCCAAGATTTACAGATGTGAAATGGGCTGTTATATAATTTGAAAAAATAAACAAATAAATTTTCTTAATATCATTTTTAAATACATATTCTTATAATCATATTTGCAATTTTTTTCCATTTAGATCATTCAATTAATCATTCCTAAATTCATCCTAATTTATATTACCCAATATTTATCTCCCTTTTAATGTTAATTTTGTCACCATTATATTTTTAATACTAAGTCCCTCTCTAATCTCATTACATTACACAAATCATACTTTTCATCTCTTTTTTTCATTTAACAAATTATATATTCTCATAACAATATAATCATTTTTATCTATCACAATATACTATATACATATATATTCTCCATCAGGTTCCACATGGCATTTCCTTCTCTATACTGTCATATCAGCTTTCTTGTGTATTCCTTAAATGATTATATATCTTAAATAACAATTCTAGAGTAAATTCTTATTTTCATATTTATTCCAATTAAAATATAAATTCTTGTTTTTATTCTAATTAATATTTTATATGTCTTTAATAATAATTCTATGATAAGTATTAATTTCAAATTTATCAAAATCAATAATTATATATCTTAACTAATAAAACAGCCATTCATATGGAATCCTTATCTTTTCCTTTTTCAACCATCATCTCTTGTTCTCCTTACTATGTTAGTTATTCTCTTCCTGGCTTGGCTTCCATTTTCTATCATTTTTGGACCCTTTCTCTTGCTCGTTCCTCCTTTCTCTATTGCATTCCACTGTTTCTTTTTCTGGTTATCTGGTTTTACCTCTGCCCTCTCCAAGTCTTTTTTCTGTAATTTCCTTTCCTGTTGCTTTACTTTCAAAATATTCTCCCCTTGATTTATTACATGAATCATTAACATTTTAAATTTAATTTCCTTTTTGTCCTTTTGTTTTATTTGTTGCTCCCTTTGTCCTGTTTTACTGGTTTCACTTTTATTTAACTCCTCCTCCTCCTGCCTTCCTTGTTCATCTGTAGTTTGTGTCACCATTTCCAAATTTTCTTCTATGCTTTGTATTTTATTCCATAAATCCAAGCTTCTGTTTATCATTTCTTTTATAGTTTGAAGTTCCAACACTATTTCTTTGCATATTTTGCTCATTTTTATGTTTCTCATTTTATTTTGTGTCCAAATATCAATTATCCCACAGTCTTTATTTAAACCAGCATTTTTCTTCAATCTATAAGTCCAATCTCTTTAAGTCTTTATTTCCCAAGTTTAATCAGACTATTCCTTTCAAAAATCCAGGGGTAGTATCTTCGTATATTTCTCCGCCGTTTTAATTTTAATGTTCCAATTTTCTGGGGTTTTGTTGTAATACATTTCCTTTTATTTTCTTTTAAGTTCATACTTTAAATTAGGCCATAAAGTTTAAAGGGATCTACAGGATTTTTTTAAACAGCAGATGGCGGTCTTATTCCAGTTTTCACTTTCCACCTCTCCCCCATTTCTTTAAATCTTCATCAGATTTGCCAATGTTTTCAAATGTTAGCTATTATTTTCTTTTTTTTTCAGTCAATGTCAGCATTTTAAATAATGCCTATCCAACACCACACCCTTTACAGTCACCAATTCCAATTTTATGCTCTTGTTTGTAAAAGTTTCCTCTTTGAGTTATTTCCCTTCCATTTAAATTTTTAAAATTAAATTCTTTAAGTTTCTCAAATTTTTTCTATCTTTAAAATCACAGCTAGTCCAATTCTTTGTGAGATCTCTTTACTGTTATTTTTATTGGGGTTACCTCTTGTAGTTCCAAGTATTTTCACCCAGTCCACACACCATTCACTGCTTCTTCGGTCTAACACAGTCTTAGGTTTTCAGACTACCTCCCGTCTTCATGGCAGCCATTTTGGCTACCTTTACAGCTCATCTTTGGACAGGGTTTTTCTTGCAGAGAGGAGAGATGTGGCTCTCCTCTACCTGTCAGGCAGTCCCCTTTCTCTACCCCACTCCAGGGTGGTTCTGGTCCTGTTTGGGACCCTCCAACGAGGACAGCTTGGAGTGAAGCCGCAGATGATCACGGACCTCATTCTGATGCGACGGAAGTATAGAGATTGATAGAAAGTAACATATGAGAATATTGAATGAAAAAAAATGATAGTAAGTAATAATATGAAATCAGATAAGAAAATTAATAGTTGGAATATGTAATTTTTTTTGGAGTATTTTATTATTTTAATTATTAGGGAACTTTCCCAAAGAATCTGAGGTGTAAATAACCGTCAGCACAGAACATAAAATTGCCTTTCCAGAGTTTCCTGTTAAAATTTCGCACGCAAACACAAGACCAGAAATGCTTAATACCAGGTATTATGAGTTATATTGAGCATGTTCTGTATGAATCATGATCTAAAAGAATGTCTCTTCAAAAATAAGGTCCTGATGTTCTGTTCTTCTGTAAGTCCAATTCATGCAAACCTCTCACCTTTTGGACTCAAGGTATCTTCCCTACAATTCATACTTGCAGACGTAGGCATTCAGTGTGTAACATGCAGTGTTATTCCATTTAGTGAAATCTTTACGATTTCTGATGGGTGCTTCTTCATATTGATGATAGGACTCTTTTGAAACATTGGCTCCATGTACAGAACGGACCAACTCAAGTTGGGTTTTCCCAGCATCCATGCCTTATAGTTATAGGTGGATTCATCAGACCATCTCCATTTTCCATTCTGAACACAAAGAAAAACACTGATGAGAAGAATGAAGAGGTTTGCCAGCAGTATGACTATCAAAACAAGTGAAGGGTGACTCAGCTGCAGAAAAATGAAGAGTGGTCCCAAATCTTATATGTCTTCCATCAATGTCTTGGAGAGAAAAGTAGCCCAAGTAGCCAAACAGCAGGATGCCAGTACAGAGGCCAGCAAGCAGCTTCAGGGCTGTGCTGAAAAGAAGATGAAGGAAGTTAGCATGTCTAATGTCATGCAATCCAATCCACACATTGCTGGGTTTAATCTGGTAGGACATGATGTGATTAGCCACTACTAGAGTCTCTGCAAGAGTGAGAATAGATGCCAAATGGGCACCACGATGGTAACTCTGGCACTCAATCTCAGCTTCTGTCCATGTCTTCTTGGCCTCAAAATATCCATAAGAATTGCCCTGGTACTGTAGCCACTCTCTGGCACAGGTGTCAGCACTAACTCCAAAGAAAGAGCAGGAAAGCAAAAAGCTGACCAGGAAGGCACTCAGATAAATAATCAATCCCATTTTCTATGTTCACGAAAATGGCTTGCAACCTTTTCTGCCAGCTTCCTACTGACATTGCTTGAGGGAAACTGATGGGAATGGTCACAAATGGCAGTCATAGGCCATTCACCAGTCATAAGTAGAAACTGGTTGCCAGGTGATCAAATTCTGTTCATGTGATCTCAGGGCATTGCTGGAATTTTGAGGAGCAGATCTAAGTCCCTTTGGTCAGCATCATCATAATTTCCAATGGCTACTGAGTCTTCCACAAGAAGTTATGTTGTGGTTTCTTGCTGAAGGTGATCTTAGAGGTTTTGTACTCCACGGGTGTCTGTTATATAGATGTCAAGAAGATCCAAGCCGACACACTTTCTCTTTCAGTCTCTTCCGTTCCAGAGCTGTCCCAGCTTCAGCAGCTTTAAAGCTGCCTCTCAGCCGCTGGCAAAAGGACTTCTCCTGGATCAACCAGGGACTTTGCGATGTCCCTGGGATCCACAGGATGTGCCCTTCACTATCACCATCTCTACAGGACGGTTTAGGTCCATTTGGACCGACCAGGGGCTGAGATATCGGCTGCAATCTTGGAGCTCGATTGCAGACTGTACCTTCAGGACACCAGCTCCTCCCCTCTCCAATAGTTGGAATATGTAATTAGGGTCATGTTTGCTTTAAAATGTTAAAGACCTGTAACCATACTGTTCACCTAAAGATGTATTTAAAGAAATAAAAATTTAAAAAAATGTATTGGAAAGAAATTTTGTCAACTACTATGACAACTTAAGTAAAAGTATTACTATCTTGTTTTGTATGTAAACGGTTGAATCATTTGTTTGAGTATATATTGAGCCATGTGAACTTTTAAAGATAATCAGCACAGAAGTCACTGACTTTTTGACATTTTTAAGTAAGCCAGTAAATATATGGTTTCTTAACCGTGCTTTTTTGGCTCAAAGGTGCTTTTTCAAAAGGAAACTGGACTGATTTTTCTTGATGAAGGTGAAGAAGAAATTTTGCTTCTCATCCAAGAAGCTTCTGCATGGTTGTGGAGACTAAAGAAGGATGAGGTCTGACAGGATGGGGGGGTGTTTGTTGAAAGGATCATATTTATTTGAAGTCATTGAGAGCTCTTGAGGCAACTTGGGAGTTTATCTGCGCCTCAAAGTTGCCTGTATCAGAATACAAATGGGGTGGAATCTTCTAGGAACTGCTTAAAGGACTGCATTGGACGCAGAGCTTTTGAAAAAGCACCTTTGAGACAACTATGACCTGGATGACTAAGAAGCTCCACAGACATGCTTTTTTGAATAAATCATAATCAGGTGACATTACACACTGTCCCAAGTCATATCTCAAGCTATATAAATCACCCTGGGTAATTTTATACAACATTACTAAAAATAAACCTGATTATGCTTTATGCCATGTAAATATTGTTTTGAAGGATTGCTTAAAAAAACAATAACATGATCATGTCCATGGAGTCATTGGATGTTTTAGATTTATTTATTTATTTATTAAACTTATGTTTATATTAATGCTAGCTCAAGAAATGGAAACAGAAGACAATAGCATCTACTTTATCTTATTGGGTATGGCTGATGGGGGATATATCAGCTTTGATAATCTAAGCAAAAGGAATGTGTAGTTTTCTTCTTTCTATAACTAGATATTACATACAATGAAGATAACACCATCACCAACAGCCCCTTTCACTTTTCTACTGTGTTTTGAATAATCATTACCATTACTTTCACTTCTTGAAAGGTGTCAGTCAAAATGCTTGTTTTCTTGCTCCTAAGGAAATAAGTACCATCATCTTTTACTCTCATTTCTTGAACCATTTTATTTCAAGACCTCATAAAGCTCCAGATACTGTAATTCTTACTGAATTATAATCGGTCTGACTTACTAAATTCATTTAAAATGGAGGCTGCATTTGGTACATCTTTCACTTACTTAACAAGTTATGGTTTTCATTTGTCACAGCATTTAGTTTTTACAGTATTGATCAATTTTCACCAGAACTTCTGCAAAAACTTTTAAACAAAGGAGATAATCAAATTATTGATAAGACAGTTTTTGATATTTTAGCTTATAGTTTTAGATCTTTAACATTCTATAATGAAAAGAAATGCAAGAGAATATATGGAATGTCAGATTCCATTCAGATTCATTATTTTAAATGTTTTTATCTGCTACAATGGTTTAATTAGAGAAGTCTCCTTTTGGTAGAAGCATTTGTATAATGTTAATGAAACTGAGGAGCATGAAATGCGGTTTCTCTGTTTTTAAATGAAGCTACTTTTAGAGAAATAAATGAGAAATGAAGAAATTGTTGAATTCACAGTGCATGAAATTAAGACAGCCCAGACTTTATTGGCAACATTTTTCTTTTCTGGAGTTTTTTAAATATACATTTTGAAGGCTATAGAATTGAGTAGTAATGGGATAGTGGTTAGATTGTGTTTGCTTTCTTTTTTTTGTACAGGGACTTTTGGGAGGCAACACAAATGGAAAACTCATATTTTGCATATTTGCATATTTTGAGAATCTCTGAAAAAGTTAAAGTAGTGGGAAGAATTTTTATTTTTCTGTATGTGCTCATATGTAGGGTAATGATAACCCGTGATTATCTTTGCTTTTGCTTATCTACTTAATGTAAACATCAATTTGATCACAAGACCTTAATGCTAAAGAGTTTTCCTTCTATATATGATATCAATACTTCCTCATGACCTATGTCCTGTAAGTTGCAACCTTTGTTAATCGGTGAATGGTCTTTAATTCACATCATATGTTTCCATAAACTACAATATTGTCAAGGATATTGATGATGTGTAAGTTTATAACTCTCCTATTCAAAATGGGATGCAAGGTGGCAATATCTGGCTAATAATCAATTTGATTGGCACTCACACTGTTCCAAGGCCAATTATCACTTTGAATTACAAAGTATTCTCTTTATGGTCATGGATGCCCATGTTCCTATATACCCCTATCTGTATCAATTGTGAAATAAATGTCAACAAATGTATACATATATTCATCTTCAATTTCTATAGCCTTTTATAAGAACTTGATTGACTAATCTCTGTAGCTCTTTGTTTTAAACAGGAGACAAGAATATAGTTTGCTAGTTTTAATAAAATGTTGGATCCTCTTTAATAGTTGGCATGTATCTAAATAGGTTTTCATAGCACAAACTCAGTCGCCTCATTTAGATTTTTTTCATATTAGATATGCTATTTTGCTTCATAGGATTTTCACAGAAAGAACAGTGAAATGCAACTGGAATAGAATTAATTAGAACATTTTAGGCTTTCAAATATGACTTTAAAAAAAGTTCTTTAAAAAAGCAGAAATACATTTCTTTAAATTAGAATAAACTGGCACAAAATGACTATTACAATTCCCCGCAGTTACTTTAATGAAAGCGCTAGAAGTTATACTATTATTTTGAGTAAGTTAATCTTAATCTTTTTTAAAAATAAAATTACTTTAGTTTTTCTAAAGGACTGTGTAGCTGGATGCTACAATTACTTTTTACTATCAAAACAACTTTATTCTTAGAAGTAAAGGCTCTTCAAAGCAATGGTTTTGCCAAAAAGTATGCTCCTGAAAAGGAAAGAATCAGGAAAACATTTATCTCTGTGAGTATCTGGAATGTATTGTACATATTACACTAATGTCTTTATTTCTGTCTATATAAAAAATCTTTGATCTGGAATGTATTATATATATTACACTAATGGTTGTATTTCTGTCTGTGTAAGAAAACCTATGTTTGTAATAGTTATGGTGCTGGACCTGAAACAGGTAACCTCAGGTTATAATCTTTCATTAGGTGAAGAAGATGGCTTAGTGGGACACTCACATCCTCTCAGCATTAGACTAGGAAGTAAACAAAAAAAATTAAAACAACCTTCCTAGTACTATAAGTGGACTATATTATGGTCCATATCCTTTAACAAAGAAATATTAACCATGCATTGGATTGATTTGCCCAATATATAGAAAATGAACATTATTTCTCTGCCCCTCTCCCTCCCTCCATCCCTCCCTCTGTCCCTCTGTCCCTCCTTCCTCTCTCTCTCTCTCACGCATGCATGCATAAAGTCTATAGGTATGACTTCATCTCTCAATATGACTTCACTGATGGCTGCAGAAAGAATTAGGATGGGGATAGTACATTATTCCCATTTAGCTTCTTTTTGTCAATCAAAAGATGTGTTTGCCAATAATGAGAAATGCCCAAAACAATGATATATGATGCCAAAGGCAAGGTTGCCCAAGAGATATTTAAAAACAAACACCTGAATGTAGTGCCAACTGACAAAGGAAAAATAATATTATTGTGCAAACAGATAATAGAAGAGGATGTTGAATATTTATAACATGTAAGCAATCTTGCAAAGCACCTTTTCTCCACACTGAGTATTGTCACTATCCCTACTATGATTTTTTTTTACTCTTTCTGTTGCTTTTATAGATCATTCTGAGGTTCTTACTACTCATTCATCCTTCTTAGTATTTCATTACCCACCCTGATTTCTCCTCAATTCAGTGAAGAGTGTTTCACTTGGAAATGAAAGGAAACACATTTTGTTCTGTCCACTTTACTTTGTTCTGCCAAAAAGCTAGGATTCTATCTATGTTTCCTTCTTTGGTGTCTTAAAAATGGACCTATTTATACAAGATGTTGAAAATTAAGCCTCAAAACATAGCTTCTTATTATGCCAAAGGACATTATGCAAATGTCTAAATATTGTGCACTATAGATGAATCTCTATTATTGACTACAACTCTTTTAAAAATGATTGTTACATGAATATGTTGAAAATAGAAGCTAGCTTTTTCAGATTTCCTTCTATGATTTTAGACTAGAACTCAATCCAATATACTTAATATAATAAGACATTTCTAAACAGATTAGCTTTGAAGTTTCAAAGAATGAGTAAACAAGGTATTAAATTTTAATCAATGTGCCAATATTTGGTCATAAATTGTAAAATTGTTCCAAA